AAAAAAATTAAAACAACAACAACAACAACAACAAAAACCCACATCATTTTGGGCCTGCAAATTTCTCCTGAGTTAACAGGTAGTTTGCTGAGGAATGTGACTTAGTAGACCAGGCTGGGCTGTAGGTAAATTGTTTCTCGGAAAAGAGAACATGTAGGGTTCAGCACAGTGGGCCCATTTTATAGAATTATTCTCTTAAATCTCATGTTCCCACCATCCTCATCTGTCTGTCCCCTAACATTATACAGTTTGTTTAATCCTACAGTATGTTTTGGTAGGTTCTAGTTTTTGTCTAATACACATAAAGTTTCTATGAATAATTGTTTCCAGATTTTGGTCTGTTCATAAGTTTTCATTTCTTTGGGATAAATACAATTTCTGGGTTGGATTATATGCTTAGTTTTCCTTCCTCCCTCCCTCCCTCCCTCCCTCTCTTCCTTCCCTCCTTCCCTCCTTCTCCTCTTATTTATATTGGCAGTGCTGAGGATGGAACTCAGGGCTTTGCACACGCTTGGAACTCTTTTCTTACTGGGTAACAGATCCTAGGAGCTAGGCTGTAATGCTCACTGTTGGTAAATATTTGGAATCAYAGTGGTAGGAAAAGAAGTTTTGAAGGACGATGAAAGAAGCTTCATTGTTTCAAAAGTTCCATGTCTGTTCAGGGATGACGAAAGCTTTTAAGAGGGGTAGGAGTGTGTTAGGACAGGACACTGGAGTTTTACAGGTTCTGCATCCTTGGCCCTGAAAAGTGTCTCACAGGTTTGACTGTAAGGAGTCCCAGGAACCTCCCTAGATCAAAAGGAGCGAGGACTTCTGAGGCCAGCATCTGCATTTTCCTTTTAGATCTTTTTAACTGAGAGAAGAAAAGGTATGAAGAAGGCTTTCTTTAGAATTCAGTATACCAAAAGGGAGAATGTTAGCAATGGAGGAATGGAATGAAGACACAGTTGGGAGGGAGTCACAGCCTCTCCAGTCTCCCCTCTCAGCATGAGGAGGCCATTCCCCATTTCAGAGGCGGGTAGCAGGCAAATTCAGTTTATTCCACTACCACTGAGCTACACCTCCAGCCCTATTTTTCTGTTTTAAATTTTGCTAATTTCTAGCTTTATTATTTCCCTCCTTCGCTTCCTTTCCATTTATTTTGCTCTGCCTTTATTTATTTATCTATTTAAGCTCATTTGATTCGATTCGAGACATTTCTCTTTTCTATATTCTTTTTTTTTTTAGGAGGGGGTACTGGGATTGAACTCAGGGGCACTGGGTACCCCTGAGCCACATCCCCAGCCCATTTTTGTATTTTATTTAGARACAGGGTCTCACTGAGTTGCTTAGTGCCTTGCCATTGCCGAGGATGGGTTTGAACTTGAGATCCTCSTGTTTTAGCTGCCCAAGCTGCTGGGATTACAGGTGTGTGCCACCATGCCCGCCGGCACAATTTTTTTTTTTTTTGTTGTTGTTGTTAGAAGTACTGCATTGGGCTTAGGATGTGGCTCAAGTGGTTGCGTGCCGCCTGGCATGCATGAGGCACTGGGTTTGATCCTCAGCACCACATTAAAAATAAATAAATAAAGATATTTAAAAAAAAAAGAAGTACTGCATAATTTCTCCCTTGGCTTCTTACAAGATGTTTGTCTTTTATCAGTTTTATTATGAAGCGTCTTGGCATGACTTTCTCTGAGTTTACCTTTTTGGGTTAGGAGAGCAGTTTTTYTTGAGGCTTTATCTGTGCCTGTTGACATTTCCAGTTTGTTTGCTCCTCCAAGACCCTGTCTGTGATATATGAAGAAACTACTATCATGTTGTTTGTATTTTAGATCCTGAGGTTCCTAGCTGGTCTACTTTTTCCCCACCTTTCAGTCTTCTTATGCTTGTTTTATATATGATATCCAAGGTTCATAGTTGTATTTAGTGAGAGAAATAGGGAAATGTGTGTCTACTCCCTCTTCTTGTTTTCACAGAAGGTTGAGATACTGTGCTACTGTGCTACTGGTTCTATTCTATAATACCCTGCCTAGGAAGTTAAAGTTCTTAACTTGACATTTTACAGATCCAATCCAAATTGGCTACAAAATCATCAGAATTTATTGTTTTGCTTCTACAACAAACTCCAAGCAGAAGTAAAGTGTGGGTTGGTTAAGAAGACCCTAGGTCTGGGAAATTAACTCTTGGAGGCTGGCCCAGTTTTGCAGGAAGAATCATGCTGGGTTTGTTACTTGGATATATGAACTAGGTGAACTGAAAAATAGGCATCTAGAGTTTCCAGAACAGCATATAAACATCTGTGAATATCAGACGTTCAGTGTGTCAGAGAAAAACATACGGAACATATTTTTGAAAATGTGGATAATGTGTAGTTAAAAATAAAATTTACCCGTTTCCAATTTTTGTGGATATCTGTATTTCCATGATATATTGGCTAAAGCGAATAAAAGCAAGAAACAGAGGAGTTATAGTATGCTTCTGTTTGTATAACATAGGGTGGATACTAAATATATAAATAATTGCTTAATCATGAAGACAAGAGCTCTGCAGTCACATATTTGCCGATGGGAGGGGAACTGGGTGATGGGAAAACAGAGAGGGAGATTTTCATACTTTGGCCATCTTTCAAATTTTGAACAATGAAAATTCCCCTCAGTTTTTCTCTCCAACAGACTCTTTCCAGCCTTCCTCTTCTGCCAATCAGGTCTTTTAAATTTTTTTTTTTTTGCGAGAATTATAGATTCTAAATAAGTCATTTTCAGGTAAATGCATTACAAGTATCTGTTCTATTGCTTGCCTTTTTAATGGTGTCTTGCAACATCTCAAATTTGAGTACCAGCAATTTGTCATGGACAAATAGGTTTAGAATTGGTAGTTTTAGGTTCTGGTGAGGAGGGTTTTCGTTTTTCATAGTTGCAATATTCTGCTAGTTACTGTCTAGAACTGATTCTTTTGCAGGGGATAGGAGTCAAGGTTCATTTTTCTCCCAGTGGACATTCAATTAACTTAGCACTATTTATTGAATTTTCCTAGTTGGTGGTGCTGTGACTGCCTGTGTGGGTCTGTCTCTGGCTTCTCTCTTCTTTTTCATTGTCCTTTTTTCCATTTCAATCTTTTAGTCAATATCACTGTGTTCTCATYACTACAACTTTACAATAATCTCCATAACTGTAGCATAAATTCCCCAACTTTTTTCTTTCCCCAAAAGCCCTCGGAACCCAAACGACAGACTTATAATTTTCCCCTCCGGAAGATAAAGGGAAGGTGCTCACGCAGGAGACTCGGATTTTCTACACTTTGGCAGCCGCTCACGTCCGTAGGCGCATGCGCACCCTAAACACTAGGATTGGTCAGCTCTGAGTTTACGTCACTTCCGAGGCGGGAGCGTGAAATAGACTGTGGGCTCTCCGGCAACCTGGTAGGGTCGGGGGAGGAAAAAGCCTTTTTGATAAAAGTGTTAGGGGTTTGTCCTGGGCTGAGGTGCTCTGAATGTCCGGACTCGAGAGAACACTTTCCCGTGTGAGGGGTGGGAAGCGGCGTGGTGACCGAGCGACGGTTGCGGGCCCTGAGGGGCGCGCCGGTCCCACATGGATTCCGTAACCCCGCGGGGCCAACTTTGAAGGAAAGCTCAGTTGGGACACTGAAATCCTGTGTCTGGCGTGGTCTCGTGGGCTGGGGGGCCCCCTGCCCGGTAGCMGAGGTCTGGCGTTGGTTTTCGTTAGCCGGGAGCGGAAGTAGTGAGGAGAAGGTCCCGCCCACCCGTCCGCGAAGGCGGTGTGTGTAAAAGGCCACCGGCGTCGGCTGGGCTAGGRTCTGTCGCCCAATTCCACACCGGCCGGTCGGAGCTCCTGCAGCAGCGTGTGCAGGTGGTGTGACGTGGGGCAGAGGCACCGGAGGTTGGTGGTACTTTAGCCTAGGGACGGAGAGTTGGAACTAGCAAAGGAGAAGGTAGGGGAGAATATTGACTCTAGAACATTTATGGGAATGACTGTCTTAAATATCTTATTTCTCCAGTTGGTGCTGATTGTGCAACCGTGGGCAGAGGTCTTGGACTCTTAGCGCCTGTTTTTTTTTTTTTTTTTTTTTTTTTTTTTTTTTTTTTTTTTTTTAATTTTAACATTTATAAGGCTATGGTGAAGTGTAAATATGATTGCTCTTATAAGGTCCTTAGCTTAGTGGCTGGCACACAGTAGGTACACAACAATGGTACCC